TTTCACACATCTGCAGTCTCCTCGAGAGCGAGAACAATAGGGACAGTACTTATCAGTAAATGTCAGCACTTGTCTAAGGTCTTCAGCAGGGACAGTTAACCGGGTCAGTAAATTTCTAAGTTTATCAGCACCGACTAAGATTATCAGCACTTCGCAGTATACAGTTAAGGTGCCAAATGGAAATATCGGCGAATTTCTAAGATAGAAAATACATTCTTTACAAGGATGGGCGTTTCTTTTTAGGACTTTACTATTATCGGACAAATGCAATATGGTTGAAAACTACATGTTGAGGACGATTAGATTTCTTATTTAGACTTGTCAGGTGATGTGGCAGTCACGTGATTTTAGCAAATATATCTGAAGTATTGAGGTCTTCTATAAATTCTAATATTGCAAGGGCTTAACCAAGATAAAAATCTAAGTTTAACTTATAATTATTTTCAACACTCTTTGTAGTTTGTGAAAAGTGCTGCGAACCTATATAGATTCTACTATCTAATTGCTAAACTTACATTTGTTAGACCGTATGTTGAATATTTCGCTGGTCAAGTACGTTGAATATAGTTATAACTAATTCATTTGCAAGATTTCAACAGGTTTGCAGCACTTTTCAAATATCTTCATTCTTCTTGAGTTTATGTGTAAAAGCGTGTCATAATTCATTGAGGGTATGCCCTTGCAATAGATCGATATATTACGACCCTTCTATTACCCTTCAATGAATCTGCATACAAATATACGACAGTATCGCTTGTCTAGGGAATGTACGGGAAGTATATGAATAAAATCATAAAATAGACATCGCATCCAAGTTAAGGCCTCTTATATATCTACAATTTATATTTTATTTAATTACAAAATACATTTTTCATTGTATAAATATAACTTGATCCGCCTCTCACTGCATACAAACTGTGTCAAATTTTGCTATATGACGTCACATTGACAAGTGCAATGCGATCAGTAAAATGTTTATATATTGCTGTGTGGGATTTAACCAACGACAGTAATACATACACTAGTTAGTATTGATGTAGTTTAAAGCTATTCAACAGTTTAAAATAGCAAGTCATTTCATTTTGTTGTAATTTGAAGAACTTATATTTTTGTGTGATGTCATAGTAAGCATTTACCGTAAAAATTAGGCCCTGCCTCCTTACTGCAGCCTTAACCGTGCTGCATTCTCTAAGTTTATCAGTTCTAGCAGTAAAAAGGTCAGTAATTGTCTAAGTTTTGCAGTAAAGACAACTCATTGTCAGTAATTGTCTAAGTTTGTCAGTAAAAAAATGGGAATGTCGTTACGTTTCTGACTTAGTAGTGAATGTGCATGCCCATTTTAGAGAAAATATACCGCTAAATAAATGTTGTGGACCATTTCAAAATACAGGTAAAATTGCATATGTACTATGGGATTATACAGGAAAGTGCTAGTTTTTTTTGCCCTTAAAATCAAATTTTACAAATACTACTTTTCAATCAAATTATAACATTTGATGAGTTACACATGTGTACTACATTGTACATTATGTATGATAAACACAAAATACTATTGTCTTCAGAGGAGGCATTTCAAAATAAACAGAAGAAATGAAGATTTCCTTCTCTTACAGAGTACAACAAAATATGAAAGATACTATTGATTCATAAAAAAGATACTTGAAAAATAATGTTAGAGTTTTAAATTTCTGCATTACAAGGTTCAGGAGCATATATTTCTACATTTTTGTTTTAATATTTTTTAAGACACTCTTTTACAGGACTTCAGTTTATCATAACCACACAAACACACCATGACAATATCAACTCTCATTACCTATCCTCTTTGTGCCCACTGGCGCATAAGGCTCCCATTTCACTGCCTCCGCTTACTTCTTTCTTTGGCTGCCGCCCTTGCTGACGCCTAGGGATTACGACGTCAATCCAGCTATCAGTTGAAAAAATTCATTAAAGAAATAGTTCTTCGCAAATGTAATTAGTATTTTAAACCTGGGCTTTCTTACTTTTGTTAAATCGGATAAATACTGAAAAAATGCCTCAAAGCCGAACATTTTTTAGATTTTACTATACTGTTTGGTTTGAACATATTTTATTGTAGTTTATAAATACAATGGGACTGGGCACATGTTCTTATTAATTATTACGCCCTCTCCCTACATGTAAATTGCACATTTAAATCGTCACAGTTAAACATGAAGTTTTAAAGTATACATTTTTTGCAAAAGTTTACAAATCGATGCATTTTGCTGATATTTAGATACACTTAATTTTGTACAAATGCATATATTGATACATTAATTAATGCTAACAAGGAAATCTATCAGAATGTTTAATAAATGTTTGAACAAAAGAAAAGAGACGTTCATTTTCTGCAGCATTCAATGAATCTACCCCCCCCCCCCCCATAATAAGACATGTGTATCCAGAATGTGGATCTTGTCAAATTGTAAAAAATTATTTAAAAATTCTTTTCTGGCTTTCTCATAGTTTAGACATACAAAAAAAATAATGATATGTATCCTCAACTTTAGCACACGATCATAAAGGACTTGATATTAAATTGCATCTATAAAGGTCACTATTCAATACACAATTATGCCGTAGTGTGGTTTGAAGAACATTTAGTCGTCTGTTACCGTAATCAAAGTATGAAGGTGGGGCAGATTTTTTAGTACTAATTTTAGATTTGAATTTTGACATTGACTGTAAATTTCGAATTTCGAGTGGAATTGAGTTCCGTTCATTAATACTGTTGGAATAATTGTAGACTTATAACTTTGTAATCGACATTTTGGAATATCATAATTTTGAGAATTTCTTGTAGAGTAGATAGATGTGTTACAGCGCATATCTGGAAGTATGTCCATTAAGTATTCAGGCATTAAATTATTATGAAGCTTGAACATAGTATTAATTCTAGCTTCTTGTCTTCTACAACTAAGAGGTTCCCATCCCGTTTCAAAGTATAGTGAATCTTTAGAAGCTATATAGAAGCTATAGTTGTTAACCCTGTTACAATTCTAGCAGCATAAAGTTGCAGTTTTTCTAACTTATTGTAATCACTATGTTGACAGCATCCCCATATCACTGAAGCGTATTGAAGTTCCGGTCTTATAAATGACGTATTCATGAGTGAGAGAGTTTTTCGATTTACTTTAAATTTTAATTTTTTCAAAAGAGATAATTTTTTGTAGGCATTAGACAGTAGATTTTCAATATGCAGTGACCAACTAGCCTCGTGTGAAAAAAATACTCCGAGGTGTTTGTGTTCAGAGATGAAGTCCGATTGACATTGTTGAAAAAGAGGCTTGGGATATTCTATGTTTTTCTTTGTACTAAACATTATTGCTTTAGTTTTAGAGGGATTAAATTTCAATAACCATTTTTTAGACCAAAGTTCCAGAGCATTTAGATCTTTGTTTAAGTCTCTTTCAATAATTTTCATATTATGAGAAGAATCCTGCAAAGAATTATCATCAGCAAATAATCTACAAAAAGTAACCATAATTTAACAACATCATTCACATAAATTAAAAACAAAAGTGGTCCTAAAACGGAGCCCTGAGGAACACCAGCAAATAAGGGTTTTGGTGTTGATAAGTTACGATACATCACTCGTTGATATCTACATTCAACATAGTTCTCAAGCCATTTATACAAACTACCAGTTATTCCATATGTTTTAAGTTTAAATAATATACCTTTATGCCAAACACGATCAAACGCTTTTGAAAGATCACAAAATACCATACAACCAAATTTTCCATCGTCATTAGCTTTTACATCGTCATATGTTGCTATTAATTGGTACACTGTTGAGTGACCAGGTAAAAAACCAGCCTGGTATTTATAAGAAAAAAATTATTGTCATGAAAATAGTTATAAATATATTTAAACACAACTTTTTCCATGATTTTTGCAACACGACTCAACAAAGAAACTGGTCTATATATGGTTAGATATCACAGAAGGATCTTCTTTTTTTAAAAGAGGAAGTACATTTGCTCATTTCCAACCGGAGGGAAAAATACATTCATTCAGAGATCTATTAAACAGTAAAGAAAGGGGTTTGGCAATTGTAAACTTTGCAGATTTTAACATCATCAGGACCAATAGCTTTGTTTGTAGGAAGTATTGTTACAATTTCAATTATTTCTTGCTCAGTAATACATATACTACTAATTTCACTGTTACATATATTATATGCCTCAGATAATTCTGAACCACTATCATCAACACATGATACAGATGTGAAATAATTATTGAGTACATCTTTTTTATCTTCATTTGAATAAGCAATATTTTTACAACCAGTATCTGTTATATATTGTAATGGTGGAATATCAGAGGTAACTTTGGTTTTAAAAACATCCTCCAATAATTTCCAGTATATTTTCGAGTTGTTTTTACTAGCGTCAGTAAGATGTAATTCTAGATTATTGTTGTAATTTTCAATTGCATGTTTTTTCATATTGTTAAACTCATTTCTCACTTGTTTAAAATTTGTCCAATCAGAGTCTTTTTTGCTTTTTTGGGGCTTTTCGTTTAAGTCTATTTTTTATACGAAGAGTTTTGCGCAATGCAGAATCAAACCATGGTTTATCTGTCGGCCGTATAATAACAGATTTTTCAGGTATACATTGTCTAACTATATTCATGAATGCCAAAGAGAAGTTTTCAGTTGCCTGATTAACATTTTGTGCATTACAAATGAGGTTTGCCCAGTCGGTATTTTCAATAAGTAAATTTAGTTTGTCTATGTCCGCATTTTTATATACCCACACTTTACGTTCATCAGATTGGTCTAGATTAACGCTTGATTTAAGAAAAATATATGTCCCTTTGTGATCGCTTATTGCACTGTCTGTGTGTAACACGCCTGAGTGAAGAACTGAAATACCTGGATTGACTAGATTTGGGTCAATAAGTGCATTCGATGAGCTCGTGATACGAGTGGATTCGTGGATAGTGTTTGTGAGATTGTATTTTAACAGAATTTCATTCATGATGTGTGTTCTAGGAATGTTAAAGAAATCTACATTAAGGTCTCTAACTAAAATTATTTTACTGGAAATATCAGAAGCTCTTTCTATAGACCACATAAGATTATTCCAAAAGGATTTGTTTCTATTTGGTGGACGGTATACACAGCACAGAAAAAAATTACAAGTAGGTACACACACATCTAACCAGATACATTCTATTAAAGTGGGTTCAAGGTCATCGCGTCTAATGGCTCGAAGAGATTCAGATATATAAACAAGAATTCCTCCTCCGTGCGAATTCCTATCTTTTCGAAATAGTGTATTAAATCCCTCAATTGAAATTTCGCAATTACTTACTCTTGCGTCCAAGTGTGTTTCTGTAAAGCATAGGATATCGAAGTCAGTTACATAAGAGGTTAAGCTTTCTATTTTGTTTCTAATACTCCTAATGTTAAGGTGAAAATATCTAAAATATGAATAGGAACACCATTCGGACCAGGGTTGGTTCAATGTTGCAAGACAATAATAATAGTAGATGAATAATTTACAAGCAAAAATATACATGAATAGAGCTTTTCATATTCTGGTTGGCTATACATTTGAACATTTGAAAGTAATAGTTATACACCTGTAATAGATACAAAAGTACATTTCTAAAATCAAAGATACAGAGTATATAACGTAGCATTGAATTTACTGTGCATCTGGTTTTTGAGTAATAAATTCCTATTGCAGCTCGATATTGTGACACTGTTTTACCTGCCATTGGTAAAAAAATTTGAACAAATGAAGAAATTTGATTGTAAGAGCCGCAAGCAAATATTATAACAAATATCAAAATCATTTGAATTCATGTTGGATAAACTGTGACAACAAAATAAGGAGTAAAAATAATAATAAAGCAAAAACAAAAAACAAAAGCGTATATACCAAGATAAAGGAAACAAAGTGAAAATAAAAAGTGTAAACAAGGATAACAAAAGTGACAAATGTGTGTCACTAAACAAAAGAAGATGCGTAGGGGCAGAATTGTTGAATATAAACAGTATGAAAACTATATACACGGCGTTCCAAAAAACAGTGGTCATACTGTAATAATGAAAGGAGAGAGAAGGGTTTTTTTTTTTTAATTTCAAACTGTTACCGTGTAGTGAATTCATACTTTATTTTAGGTATTCTTATTTAGTTTTCATTAATGAGAGCTGAAGTCAGTAACCATGGTAAACTATTTTAGACACATTTTAATCGCAAGTCGATAGTGAAGTCGCTAATACTGGTTATCGGGTGTTTCAGCTTCTGGGTCAGATGTTGTCCACTGAGGTGGAGCAAGTTCGTGCAACTCTTTAATAGATCGGATTAGGTATTTGTGACCTTTATCAGAGAGCTTTGTGAAAATTCTACCGTCACTAGTCCAGAATGAATGCACTCTTTCGGCTCGTTTGGCATTTTCAAGTTATTTTACTATGGCCTGTCTGTATCTGGTCAGGTCTTCGGTAATAAAGATGCCGGAGTTCTTCAGGTTTCGTTTTGCTGCATGAAATATATGGAGATAACGAACAGTATTCAAGCTAAAAAGTCCATCACACAATACAAAATAGGAGCAGAGCAAACACGGACCTCCAAACATCAGAGGTGGGATCAGGTGCCATGGAGGAGCGAGCATCCACCGCCGACCGGTCACACCCGCCGCGCGCCCCCTGTCACGATCGGGAAACAACGGAAAAATCCGTCGACAATTCAGTGTGTAAACAATGGCCTAACAATTAGTATGAAAACCGTCAGTCAGCATTTGACTCAATGATAAATTGTATTTGCTGACAAGGTCATTGTATCGACCATAGAACTTACGAAATGATGACTTTAAACGAGACAGCTGATATTCTTGTTTCATCAACTTATTTGTCAATATGCTCTTGCGTATCGAATCAACTGAGAGATATATACCCCGTATGCAGGTGATGAAGGTATATTGCTGCATAAGTAAGGGAAGTTGACGATTGAAAAGTTAAAGTCATCACGTTTATCATAAAGCTTGGTTGTTAGATTACCATTAACGTCTTTTTCAAGTAAAATATCCAAAAATGAAACAGATGTGTCAGACTCTGTGGTATCTTTTATCTCAAGTTCACCTGGATATATCGTATCGACATAAGAAATTTTAATAAGAAAACATAAATTTTGTTTTTTTATCTTCCAGTTCTTGAAACGACAAATAATTTGTATGTGACCATCCTTGTTGGGTTTACCTATTGGATGTGATCTGAAGATATCATCATCTTTGAGTTCGATTGCTTGATGATGTTTACAGATATCGATGACACTAATATCTGTATCTGCTCCTTCTCCTGGTGCCGGGCAGTTGTGAAATCTCAGAGAATTTCTTCTACCATATTGTTCGAGATCATCAACTATGTCCTCTAAGTTCCATATTTGACACTGCGGTTCAGAATTTTTTTTTCATAACCTTTAACTCTTGTTGATAGATCTTCAATTTCTTTGTTTTGTTTAGATATTGTTTCTGCCTGGTTTTTGATGATGTCAGTTGAAGAACTGAAGACTGCCTTCACAGCTTGTTCAATGGATGGTTTTATTGCCTCTGCAATTACTGGAAATAATTGAGAAATAAAATTTTGACTTTTCATGGAGCTTAATTTCAGTTCAGGGAGACTAAATTTTTGGCCCTGTGTTTGAATGAATGGTGGTTGTCTTTGTTTAGAACTCCTTGGCTCACTTGGAAAAGAACCTGACTTAACAGTTGTACTCCGTGTAGTATTTTATATGGACTGTGTAGATTGGTCATATACAGGAGTGTCAGAGCTTGACCCATACATTTTTTCAAGATCAGTTTCTAAATAAGATTGATATGTTTGAAGTACTATACAATGAAAACCCCAATTGCCAAACTGACATTTTAAAAATATAAATATTTGTTACCGTCTTCTTTCCTTTGATTTCTTTATGATACACATTAAGAGTCCTGCATACATAAGAATGTAATTCTATGCTTATTTAATTAACAAAAAAATCTATCCGCTTTTTGGATTGTCAATATGGCTTATGTTCATATGATGCATTGTCTACGTGTCCGTTTACCAGTTGGTGGTGCATGTTTGTAGTTTTTACATGTTTGTAGTTTTTAGCTATAGAAAGAGTAGAAAAAAAATTGTAACAACATATATACCTGCTGACTCCTTCCGGGCGTTTTTTTTTTTACTTTTCAATTCAAATATGTCTAATTTCGAATGAATATATATATATATATATATATATATATATATATATATATATATATATATATATATATATATATATATATATATATATATATATATATATATATATATATATATACCGTTTTTCGAAATCCTTCACCGGGAGCAATCTAAACAATAAAAGATATGGCATTTGATAATAGGTTTGGTAAGAACAATTGCAACAACTCCCTTTTTAAGACACAATTTACTACTTGCAATAACCACGGGTGATAAACTACTTTTCATGACGACAAAGAATATAGTGAGTAGATCGGATACTGCAGATCTTTTAACCCGACAAGAGCCACACTTGTTCATGTGGAGATTTCGAATTGTCGATCTTTATCAACCTGTCTTCTTTGTTTTTGGACCGTTTACGGTAGCTCAGTCGGTAGAGCGCTCGCTCCGTGATCGGGAGGTCGTGAGTTCGAATCTTGACCGCGACTGACCTAAGTCGATAAAAAATGGGTAGCAACTGTTCCTTCGCCATGCGCTCGGCACTTTGAAGTGAAAGTTGCGGGTCCTTCGGATGAGAGCTTAAAAACCGAGGCCTCGTGTCACGACAGGCGTTGGCACGATAAAGATCCCTCACTGCTCAATGGCCGTAAGTGCCGAGTAAATGTCAAAATTTGAAGCCCTTCACCGGTATATGGTGACGTCTCTATATGAGAGAAAAATTCTCGAATGGGACGTAAAACAACAAACAATCAATCAATCAATCAATCTTTGTTTTTGACCACGCCTATACTACAAAACTACACTGTAAAATATATCTTAGAGTGTAAGGTATGAAGACAAATACATGTATCGTACGAACACCTGTGGTTGCTGTTGTGCTTTGCATTGGCATGTATGATTTTTTTTTGTGATTAAAGACACAAAAACTGAACTTAACCTTTAACTTAATTAATTAAGGAATTTATGTCCTTTATTATTGACTACATCTTTCAATCGTGATTAACATTGTCATTTTGCAAAATAGATAAAAAAAAAAAATAAAAATTAAATAATACATATGTAACAAATTGATACTAAGAAAGAAAATCCCATGAAATTACTACAAAACACGTTATTGAACAAACGAGGGTTGTCCATAATGTTCGTAGATAAATGCTACTATTGCTACTATTTTCTTAAGACAACAATCCAAAACGTGTACAGGTATCGTATAGTAGATAAAAACAAATTATATCAAAACTTACTATTTTACGAAAGTTATATGTGCTAATTAGTTGCATATGCAAGTCAAAGTGCCTAGCTTGACCTTCAACTAGTTGTTTGATAACGTCAATAAAATTTATTTTCAATTTTTAACACATCTTCCTGTACACAGGCTAATATTTCTATATTATGCCATATTGCTAAGTCTATGCATACTTTTTACAAATAAATCTTGCTTGATTTTATTTTTCAATTGAACCAAAAAAAAAAAAAAAAAAAAGTAAAAGTGAAGATACAAATCAAAAAGTACATGTATATTCAATCATCAAATTCTAACTACTCCTTGAGTGAGAGTGAGAGAGTTTGGCAATGATTGATGCATGGTACAATTTTAGCTTTACAGCTTTCAAAAGTACAATCTACAATCTGTCTCCATATGCATCATTTTATATATATATATATATATATATATATATATATATATATATATATATATATATATATATATATATATATATATATATATATATATATATATATATATATATATATATATATATATATATTTACAAGATATAGAAGATACGAGATACATACGAGTAAGCAGCCCCTCTATTATATTTCTACAGTGTATCATAACTTGAAGCTGTACTCCTTTTTTTGAAACTTGAATACGATTTGTTTTGATCAGAAGAACCATTTTGGGAATTAGTGAAATATATAAAGACTCATTAAGTGAAAACTTATACGAATATTTGTATTTAAGTTTCATTGAATTGCTTCTATTTTAGAAAACACAGAGGGAGAATTAGATGCAAAACTAAAGAGGAAATTTGGTGAGTTTTTTTTAGGTTTCCTGAAAAAAAAAATCAATTTCTTGAATTTTTTTTTTGTATCAAAGAAATGACTCATTAACTTTATTTATTTATTTATTTATTTTTTGGTATCAAATTCTGTCACATTTTGTTTTTGTTTCCTTTTTTTTTTCCTGGATGATAATCAAAAATTTTATTCAGGAAAAGAATGAAAGATTTTATTCACTTATTTTGTTGTCTAACATAATATTTACGACTTTCGCTTAAAGCGAATTGAATCGAGCTCTGCATGTCATGATGGCGTAACAATATACTTTTGTGTTTTTTAAGTCGCTTGACTCTTTCAATTGGTAATTTCCTACCCTTTTTTCGTCCCTTAAGGTTACTTGAAAAAGGTTTTAAAATTCAATTCTACTTTAAGATGTCCTACTTTACAAAGAATGAAAATGCATTTGCTCTATAAAATTAAACTTCAGGAAACTGAGTGATATGTGCTTTTGTAATTGTTGTATGATTGGATTCCCGCTTCTAGGCAAATTCATAGGTGAACTCTTGTCAAATTTTCGGGACGCCCTGTCACTTCCTCGGGACATAGTAAAGGTTGAAAAGAACAAAACAAATGAAAACATTAAAATCTAGCACTACTATTACGCTACTGAATCCTATTTATTTACACTTTTACATTTTGAATTTTGAACGAAGCCAGACCACCGTAGGGCACGTCTAGTCAGTTTGTTATACTGTGGCGATGTGTGATTTACTTAAAGGACGGAATTACGAGTAAAGAAAAGTAACAAATGAATGACTACCTGTTTCCAGGACGGCCCTGGTTCATGCCACATTCTTACCTGGCTTATCATTTTCCTATAATCAATTAAAAATTAAGAAAAAAATCATACAATATGCATCAGTACTAAGTAGATGAAAATGACGCTGAACTGCAAAAATCACACCCACCAACATCCACCCACACACCCACACATACACACCCACCTTCCCACACGCACACCCACCTTCCCACACACACACACACACATTATATATATATATATATATATATATATATATATATATATATATATATATATATATATATATATATATATATATATATATATATATATATATATATATATATATATATATATTATTTTGACAAAACCCAAAGTTCTAAGAAAACCAAGAATCAGTCAAATATGAGTTGCGTCAAGCGGGACCTACCAGACCAAGAACAAGGTCCAATTTGGACCTTTTTTGGCCCTGTGAATTTCTGAAAAATCAAAAATGCTGAGCTTTAGTGGAAATTAAAAATTTAATTTTCTATTGGACTCTTCATGACTGAATGTCTATGAAAATGTAAATTATGTCATTATCCTCAAATCTATAAAATCTCTTAAAAATGATAAAAACTTTAAGCTGTTTTTCAATGTATTTTATAGCCCCCATCCTCTGGTCTAATATGTTTTATTATATACTGAAAGCACTTGTTCAGAAGGTGATACATTTGCAATATGTAATCCATTTTTTATGTGTTAGATCGCGGGTAGGGCTCGTATTTTAATTCTTTGCTGAGGGTGCTTAAATGCACAGATCTTTATCAAAGTTCAAGAACATTGCAATTTGACAAAGCCAGTTTTTTTTAAAACCTAGACTATCAGAGGGAACTTGATAATAGAAAATGAAAACACTTATTATCTACTTTATATTGATGTCTTTATAGGACACTGTGACTCGATCAATTAATTGGTATATGTACTGGGTCATTTCATGGATAAATTAAAACTAGCTTTTACCGAAAATTGGTTTTCGATGGATTCTGAAAGAACCATTCCTTCTGAATAATTTGATACCAAATATTTCGTTTAATACTTAACTTGACCTTATAAAAAATCTAAAATGAAATGAAAGCAAGGATTACAAGATAACTTCTTGCCATGGGATTGTCTTTATAAAGAAAACAACAACATTTATGTATGTAGAAGTACAATTTTACTTAAGGTATTTAAAATGTTTAATAATTTTTAGTAGATTTTTCGCAATTCTAGTACATTAATAACTTAAGTGTAAAATTATTGAGGTTTATAAAGTGATAACGTTTGCTTAATGAAAATAATTTCACAACTGGAAAACTATACAAAGTTACACTGACAGGAAAATGTTTCATTTAGTTTGAAAAACCTTGTCAAATTGTAATGTTTAAGTCCGATTATCTTAATAATCACTATAACATAGTAACGCTTTACTTAAATAATGAACATATGTAAGATAGTAGGTTATAGTTAAATGCAATTACATGTCGATATTAAAATAGTAGGTTGGAAGAAATGCTTTCGCTCTCAATAGAGCGGAACCAAAATATATCTATTTTACGTTTTAAAATGAATCAGTACATAAAATCAAATTTGACAAAGGAATTGACTGTATTTTTTTTTAAATCATTAACGCTTCATTTGAAGATCCAAAAAATAGAGTCCGGTTGCACTGATCGGGTAATGCATTCTACGGAGCTATCATCGCTATGCATAAAATATATATATTTTTTGAAACGACAATGAAGCATCGCATTTATACATTCGATTTTTTTTTTTGTTTTTGGAAAAAAAATTCATTTTTTATGGTCTCTGGGTCTTCTCTTCACTTTCTACAGATGTTTGTTTGTATCTCTGAATTAAAATACACTCAACAAACGTTTTAAAATCATAGAGCGATGACCCAGAAATAGATTTTTTAGGGAAAAAAATGTGTTTAAAAATGTACCAGTTTGTACCAAAGGACTCATCTAGCCAATATTCAAGTTATGTTTAAGGAAATCAAAAAACAATATCGGAAATATATTTCCTTTTTTTCACAGAAACCTGATAAACCTAAAGAATGCTTAAATATCATGTGGCAGATCATTGGAATTATAACTTTTCAAGTACACCTAGATTCCTGACGAATGCCAATCAAAAGTGCCCTCGTTTGTTTATGCAAATTAAAACTAGATGCTGTCATGAGACAGTAATACCCGCACTAAGGTGTTTGCCTCTGAATGCACACTCCTTCATATTGGGCCTACCAAGGAAAAAGCCAAAATAATTCGATAATTTACACAGTACATGTACATGTATTTGTCAAATCGAGCATAAAATGCTCAGGTGACCATGTGACCTGTGAGCCTCTTATAGGTATTTCCTTTACTTAATTCATTACCAGTCTGAAATAACAGAATTTAATTAATGATGTAAATTAGGTTTTGATAAAAGGGGGATATAAATTTTTGGCCCATAATTGAACTTTTTAAATTTATTTTCTCAACAACAAATAATATTATTTTAGTACAAAGCGTTTTTAATGAATTTATCAAAATGTGTAAACATTTTTTTAGTATTTAATTAGGCAAAAACCATCTTGAAAAGCCATACCCAATCAATCCCCCCCCCCCCCCACACACACAATTTGCCTGTTTTTGGAAATAGGCCTAGATGGCAAAGTTATGTTAAAAACATCGTTTGTTATGATAATTTAAAATTTGTTCTTGTACTGTACATGTATGTGAACACCTTTTTGAAAATTTCTTCATCACATTGGGCTTGCGTCACCCTACTAGTACTAGTTTTACCATTATCATTTTTAGATTGCACATGCATTCGGCAAACCTTGGCTGATTCCGTCACCTTCATCAAACGTTAGAACGTTAGATAAGGTACGAATCGGCCGAGGTGTGCCGAATGATTACACATGGTGCAGTGTGGTGAAAACATCATTACATGTATATCAGTAGGAATTAATTCATTTTGTGTTTTAATTGGATTATATTTCATGAAGTTGACAGGACATATGACAGTCAGTAAGTACAAATTTAAGTATAGACTGGGGTAAAATAAACCGAAATGCAAATGGTTAGGTTAAATTTAAAAAGGATCAAAGATCATCGGATGCCATAGTAGACGAATTTCACAATCTGAAGAGTTATCTCCCGTTGTTGACATTACATTCAATTACATGCAAAAATCCAGGAATTTTTTTTTTTTTGGGGGGGGGGGGGCACACCTCAGTCAAAAAAAATTCCAGCCCAGAATTTCCTGTGAAGCAAAAATAAAACAAAACAAAACAAACAAAAACAAAAACACACAAACAAAATAAAAACAATGATGGTGGGGTCCGTTTTTTATGGAGGGGGGGGGGCAGTCATTTTTTAATTTGCTTCTGTAAATCAGTATAATCATAGTCCTATTTAAAAAACTCTGCAAATTCCTGGGGGGGGGGGGGACAATCTCCCTAGCCGCTCTCATAACCACTCTCTTAATGAACTGGAAATGTTCACAATATGACTACATCAAATTAAATAAAAGTGCATCAATGATAAGATTGCTTGACATTTCATTCAATAATTTGGGTCAACCCATGTATCCTCCTAGAATTAGGAATGAAAATCATTCAAAGAGATGGACCATTACACTATTTGTATATATTCACATTTTTTATGTCAAAACAAAGTATTAGCTTGCATACATGAACAAACAGGGGTCTGGGAAGGGGAAGGGGCGAGGGGAAGGAGTTATCTCTTTACGTCTTAATTGTTGAAAACTCCTAAAATGAATATTAACCTCTAATCCGACTAGTACGTCTTCATTATTTTTTAAGTGGTGGTTTCTCCATATGAGTGAAAAATTCCCAAGAGGGACATTTAACAACAAACAAACAAATGGCTTAAAAAACACAATATACATGTACATGTTTATTAGTCAACAGATATACTTCTAGTCATATCTCTAGTTCTCCCTTGAATCAGAAATGATGATATAAATATTTAAAGAATGATTAAGAGTTGAAAAGGTTGCATCTTAAAATTGACTTAGCCTAAGCTCTGTGGTTGAATTAGCTATACCACTTTAGCTTATTTTGCTATTATTTTTTTATCATACTATTTTCTAAAATGTGCAGTTTTTTCAACATGGATACAAGTCATACATTTTCAGCTTCTTAAAACAATGCATGAAAAAGAAACTGCTTTTCAAATACTGTAACTCTTTTCAAGT